AGAAATGTAAGATGTTGTTTAATGGCTGATATATTTATGATCCACGTCACGTTTTCAGTTCCTCATGTTTGTCTAGAAGTCTTCTCATCAGGGCTCTATAAATACAGAACTACGGCAGATATGTAATATTTAATGCAGCCGAACCGTGTATTACAATGCCGTTATGTGATGACTTCCAAAGAGAAAAGCAAGCACACTCGGAATAAAGTATTATTTTATTTTTAAAAAATGTTTTTGGTCTGTTTCCGGTATTTGTTAATGACGATGTGCCGTGAGATGTGAGACTGGAATTGCACAGGGGAAAATAACGTAGGCTATCTTTAGATGCGGATTTTGTTAAACTAATATGTTTGCGCTGTGGACCAACACTATACATTGACGGGGAAGGGGGTAGCAATAAAGATAACACCATTAAACAGTTACACAACATAACAGAAATAATATCGATAGCAGCGTCCCTAGCAACCACCTTGGTAACAATGAAAACGTTGCAATTTCCTGAAGTAATCTTCGTAATAACTAGCAAACTAAAGATCATGTACATCCACTGCACACATAATCTGAAATAACAACTCATATTTCTCGCATCAAATGACATCAAAACGCATTTTAATGGCCAAACTAACTTTAAAATTGGCATTTTCCACCGAGAATAAAACGAAGTTCGGCCATGTTTTCTTTTTCTGCAGGGAGACATTTGAAGATCACGTGACATAGACGCCAGCCATTGGAATGAATAGTGAAAAAAACGGGGTTTGTCAAACAGAGCACATGGTGTAGTCCAAATGATAGCTGGGGATTCTGGGTAGTGTAGTGTCTTCTTGTTATAAAATGTAGAAATAAAAAAGGTCTGAAGACAAAATTAATTCAGGTGACTCTCTTATTAGGAAAATAAAATATATAATAGAACTTTAGGGGGTAAAATGTAACCAGCTAGGACTTAATATTCTGTCCTTCCTTATCCTTTTCTTCTTAAGCAGGGCACTCGGAGGTTCTCCCTCCTCTGCGGTGTCTGGGGTTCCTGCCACCCCCCATCGGGAGCACCCGCTGGGGCCCACGACTAAACAAGAAAAAGGAACTCGTAGTCGGGGCTCAAAATCAATTTGACGGGGTGAAAACATTTTGTCTCAATACCCAAAAGGCAAAGTATTTCCTCCGTCTAGCAGATGTCTCTTATCAAACACAACTCGGAACTTTTTGGTGAATGACACATTTCTCAAAACAAAACCCTCTTTATTCCGTGCAATGTTGTGTTGCTGGCCTGAAGACACCTCCCCCTCTCAGAGTTTTGAACGTAGCCTTCCACCAGATCTATCAGACTGTCAAAGTTCACTCGTTCACAACATTCGTGCGTTTGTGTAATGCCTTTCACACGCATCACAACCTTTTTTTGATTTTTGGTCTGATAGGCATAACTTTTAGGGCCTGCTGAAACAAACTCTGCAATCGTGTCGCCCCCCAGTTCGTCTGTCAGATCCCCCAGATAAACCCCCATGGGCAGTGGAGTCTCACCCGCTCTCGTCACATATATGATACTGTCTGTGTCGCAGTAGAAGACTCTGTGCTGTAATTTCTCCAATTCACTGTACAGTTTCAGCCTGGCATACGCAGTGGTAAATGCTGCAACGAATATGTTATCTACCTTGTTGGGAGGAGAATAGCATTTTTCACCGTAGCACCACTGAACAAGAGCCGTCCTGTCGTTGAGGAATGAGAAATACGTAACCTTATGTTTAGCTGAAAACAAGAGGTTAAGAAATTCTCAGGTTGCTTCTCTGGGCAAATTTACCCCAGAAACTGTTGAGACATAGTTTTGCCACTTGTCTTTTGGCGGGGTTTGATGTGATTTGATCTGCATCCAGCAAGATGCCCTGCTTAGCATGATAGTCTGCCACATACTTTTGTCTGCTCTCATCATCTGAGGCCTCTGAAGGGTAACCTGATGCTTCAAGTTTGCCCTTCAAAAATGTGTGTATATAGTCTACAAAAATGCTGTCACTTTTCTTCTCAAAATGCCACACCTCTGTGATCTGAGTCATCTTGTAACCCATGTCCAGGGCTTTGGTGAATTCTGTGGTCACCCAAACTCCTGTTAATGCTCTTTCCTCTTTGCTGTGCATGCAGGGCCCCTGTTGGTTGTTAAGCTCAGCGCATGTACGGCATAGGGTGAACACTAGCTTACCCCCCGCAGTTCGGTAGGGCAGGACAGGAAAGTAAAGTCCCCTGGGGGGGTCTACTGTGGCTCTGATTAACCCAAAATAACTGCGAGGGTCTTTGAAATCTCGGAATATGAGCTGGGGGTGTCCAAGGGGATATAAGCCTGTACAGTTTACAAAAGGGTAGAGTGAAGTGAAATCACAATAATGAACCAATTCATCTGCCGCTGTCGTGTGCCTCAGCTCTACAGCACATGTCCTCCCTCGCAGTGCTTCTCAAAGTGTGGTCCGCGGACCACTGGTGGTCCGTGAGCGCCCCCTAGTGGTCCGTGAGTATATTGGTAAAATCTCACATTTGAAATAAATGTATTTATTTACGTTTTCCGCACTCTCGCGGCAATATCTCCGCAATGGAGCGAGCTTAAGTTCATCACACATGTGGCCACTTGTTTGTACCATTTTCAGGCGATTTGTAAAAAACTATGTGTTTTTGGATATTTGTGGAGTTAGGTGGTTCGCAGTGTTTTTTGTATTGGTTAAGTGGTCCTTGGTATGAAAAAGTTTGAGAAACAGTGGGAGCATCGCGGGGGGTCAATGGCTCTGGCGCTTTGTATTCCCTGAGGAAAGCCTGTAAATCTTGGTTGGATTTTTTCATCTCAACCCATGTATGCTCACGCATAACGATCACTTTGGCCCCGTGAACAGACTGTAGCTCATGCAGCTTTTCCTCACTAGCAGCATGGAGCTGCTCAAATGTGCCACCTGTCAAGGGGTTTTTCTCATGGCCCTTGTAGCAAGATGGACACCCGTGATAGAAGCAACCAAGAAATTCCCAGACAATCTTGCCCCCGGTTACTTCGGCAAAACCATCCACGACAAAACGTCCCACTCGTTTTTCTCCTTCGTTCAACGCATGTTGAATAAATACACCTTCTGTTTGGGCTATCCACTCTAGCCATTGAACACCTGCGTCCGAGTATGTCTTGTTTTCATAGCGGTAGTCGTTGGGTGGTGGTATTGCCAGGGTTTTGGGTGGTAGAAAGTTGGTGGTAAAAACGTTCATACACGCAGAAGCTATGGTCGCACGACTAAAAGGATCAACTCCTGTCTCTGCGAGAAACCCTTTCCGAAATAAAGTGGCTCCCTGGGCAAGAATGTCCACATCGTTTTTACAGTAAAGCCGTGCCTGCTTTTGAAAGTCAAAAGTACCCGTGCGTACCATCTCATACCAGGTGAAAAAGTCACTTTTTTCATCAGTTGTCATGCGTTCAATCCCATAACAGTGTGCTGGGGGGTAAGGTCCGATATAACTCAGATTAGCCTTAGAGCTGAAACTGTGTGGGAAGTATCCCTTGATTTTATCTTCAAATCCCAAAGCTTTTGGCATTGCTGCTAAACGCATAGAGAGATAAGACAGTGAGTCTATGTACTTTTGTCCGAAATCCTGGACAGTAAAATAAATCGCTTTACTTCCCTGCATTATCAAAGAGGGTTTTAATCCTTGTTCTAACATTGCATTGATAATTAGATAGCTGTCAAAACCCTTAGCATTGTGAGCGATGAAGGTTGCATTTTTGAACTTTGGACGCCTAAAGTGTGTCAGAAACTGCAGTGCACAGTCGGTGCCCTCCGAGACCCAAATTTCACCCGCAAGGGTTTTTGTGCACACCAGGAAGGGGGCATGTACACCATCTGCCCCCGCCATGGTTTCAAAATCATAAAACACAATGTTGTCATTGTGTTCTGTCTCTTTGGGTAACACTCTGATGTAACACAGATGTTTTTCACCATCGGCTGTAGAAGCAGAGGGTAATTTTCCCTTGCATGTCTTACATTTTTCACCGCACACTTGTGTGTTTTATCTGCACTACTCTTGGGAGTGTAGTAGGAAAGTTGACAATCTACACACTTTTTGTGTAAATCGCGGTTACTGGCAATGTCTGATGATCTTTGTGTCTGTTTTTTATGTCGAGAGTGACAGCCAGCCGTACGACACGTTTTGTTACAGTCTTTACAAAAGATGGGTTTAAACTAGGGCTGTCAAGTTAACGCGTTAATAAAAAAAATTAACGCCACTAATTATTTTAACGCGATTGATGGCAGACCACACTTCCACGCTCACCGGCAGGCACCGACTGGCTGTTGGGAGGACCGGGAGGGTCTGTGTGTGTGTGGCCCGAGCGAGCGAGAGAGAGACCTTACGTGCATTGTTGTTGTTAGCATCTGGTGCTAGCTAGCTGCGCTAACGGATATGGAGCTGTTTAAATGAAAACAGAGGAGCGACATTTCGCCACAACTGCGCCGAGCACTTGACTTTATGCAGGAAGCCAGACAGTGGGACATTGTACGAGAAGTCAGCACACTCAGCACGGATAGTGCGCAACATGATTGCAGCGTCCAGGCAGCTCCGGTTCGAGCATATGCCTTGAGTTGCACAACGATCCATCACACACACACACACACACACACACACACACACACACACACACACACACACACACACACACACACACACACACACACACACACACACACACACACACACACACACACACACAACACACACACACACACACAACACACACACACACACACACACACACACACACACACACACACACACACACACACACACACACACACCACACACACACACACACACACACACACACACACACACACCACACCAACACACACACAGGTTGTTGTGTTTAATATTCATGAGAATATTTGTCATTGTTCAAATGATAATAAACATTAGCATAAAGCATATTTGTCCACTCATATGTTGATGAGAGTATTAAAAAATATTCCTCTAAGGTACATTTAGAACAGATCAAAAATGTGCGATTAATTTGCGATTAATCGCGATTAACTATTTTAATCGACTGACAGCCCTAGTTTAAACTCGTCCAGAGTACATGAGGGGTCAAGACAGACATAACAATGACCAGTACAGGAATGACTCCATTGAGAGCTGTAGCCTGTGTAGCAATGTTCACAGACATATGGAGAGCCTAAAAACCCCTTCAAGTTTTTAATCCCATAGTAGTGATTTTTGAAGAGAAACAAAAACACAGTTTTGTCTCGTTTGGGACCCTCTGTCTGGAATTTACAGTGAGTACGATCTTCATCGCCTCTGTAAAATACCACAATCGTGCATTTTTAACTCTCTTTGAATTTAACAATGTCGTTGAATGTCACAGCTGTCTGATCTGTCAAACCCACCATCCTCTGAATATATTTACCACATTCAAAACCTTCTTTATCAGTGAGGTTGTCATGCAACAACAGTGCTAAATTAATAGCAAAACACAGCTGGTTGAACGGATTCTGTACCACATACAGAAAACGCCTCTTCTTTTTAACTATCTCATTGTCCAACATTTTACCAGCCAGTCGTTTAGCACCACCACCACGGGGGGATTGTACAATTTGCACTACTAACTCGAGGTTACTGTCTGCCATTACCTCCAAATTTGACTGTACAGCATTGAACAGGGCCTCCTCAAAATCAGCTAGATTATCATCATTAGCATTCAAAATGGCTGACACATTAGCCTGTAGCTGCTCGCCCCGGAGCTCAACCTGAACAATATCTTCCCTATCTGCCCGTGAAAAAGCATCATTTACCATATCCTGTACATTGTTCATCAGAACCCCATAATAGGATGTAAAGTCTGCTTCGTCATTATTAGGAGGGGGTAGGACTAGAGACTGACGCAGTTCTGTGTTATTGAATACAGGTCGAGACAAAACACTTGGTGTGGCATTTCGGTTAGCCCCCCCTCCATGTTGGAACGAGGGGGGTGGTGATTCTGAAGCTTTCGGGGTGTCATTCTGATCAACATGTCTACCACTTTGCATGGAGCAAACTGGTGATTCTGAGTCACTAACGTGTTCACCATTCTGCACGATGGAAACTGGTGCTTCTGTAATGGTTGAAGCTATGCTATTTACTCCATTCAGATGGCTTACTCCGTCTGCGAGCTGATTTAAAAGCCCGAGACCGGGGTAAGTGTCAGAGTTTTGATAGTATGCTAATACACATTCCAAAGCGCTATCTAAGGTTATGGGATGGCTTGAGTTTGTTTGTGATGAGGTGGTAGGTTCTTCGTCGTTTAACTCATTGATATTGTCCGAACACTGAGGAAATGACATATCTCCATACACGAATTCCTCATCACTGCTTAGTTCATTTATGTCGTTTATAGACGGAAGAAAAGAAAATTCTCTAACTGCTAAATCATCCATGTTTGACCGTTTATGAAACCAAAATCAGAAATACATTTGTCACAGCTGAAGAAACGTACCGGTCGGTTACATCGGCATCAATTTACATGAGACCCTCCAGCTTATTCAGTGGGTGTGTCCATAAAGTTGGCAATAACAGCAGTGGGGGTCCACCTGGTAATAGCTTGACTGATCTATACAGAAAAAAGACAGAGAAAAAGAAGGATAAGTATTTGAAAAACACATGGTTATACATTTAACGACTATTCATTTATCAAACATCTTGTAAAATAACCATAAAACTCATTTACCGGGGTAATATCTCGTCAGGAGGGGATCTGTGAGGAGTGATATATCGGCCTGAATCACCCTCGAACTGAGGACTAGGGCTTGAGTCTGTCTGACTCGATATGAGCATGTCTGGTTGTAACTCAAAGTCATCCAGATAGGCACTGTAAGTGTAAAAATCGGCCTGCAGTTCTGGCGGAATCTGCATAAAGGTTTCAGACCCAAGCGGTTGCAGGGGGGCGTTGAAAAGGGGGGTGTATGCCTGGTTATCTGAGTCCCGGGGGAGGGCGACGGCTGTCCTCAGGGGGTCTGCAGTTACCTCAAAGGGTAGATTGTGTGTAAACTCCACAGGGGGAAAGTTTTGATACACAGAGCCTCTGTCAGTGTTGTAGACTTCGCCACCTTTTTTAACAAAAGAGTAAAAAAAAAAACGTTATTCGGGGATACTTTGCACATAAAAAACATATTTGATTTCAAAATAAAATACAATTAGTTTAAATATAATCACTTTCCACAGAGGGTAAATTAAGGTAGGCTCCAAGTGCAAAGCAGATTCTTTCCACTATTAGTGGCCTTATCTGACTCAGAGTATCCTGAGCTGAGACACACAGAAAGATTTGATTATAATCTACACCATATTACTCTATACTTTTCTAATTAAAAACATGTTAAAAAGAAGTAAAAAAGAAACTCACCTAGTATTTCAATAATCCTATGACCCCATACATTAGGGTTTTCAGCACACAGGATCTCTACTGCAAACAGAAAAACATAATATTTTTTAAGTATCTAATAATATACTATCCACATATATATATATATATATATATATATATATATATATATATATATAAACAACATTTAATAATTACATGATATTATAAGATAAGTACTTACCACATTGTTTTGTGATGGCGTCCAGGTCAATAAAGCGCAGAGCTGGAATGGTAGGATAATTCATCCTCTAGTTTCTTCAAACTGTAGAGATCTTGTCGCCTTATAAAATACCAAATAACAGAGCCATGTCAACCCCTCAAAAAAAACTGACCAATCGATGAGTCCTTTTATCCAGGTAATTAGCTACGCGTCTTCTTACAGCTTTTCTTTTGTCCTGATCAGCACCCTGGAGCCGTCATGAAGTGAAATGGAATAGGAAACACGTTTTTAAGAAAACTTCTCTTTTATGGATACAGCAGAATTCTAATATTACCACCTCATATTGGGTTTCCTTACAGTGGTGTAAAATAATGATTAAAAAAGACAATATCATGTTTTTAAATTGTTTTATTATTTCCGTCTTCAGACTTTTCTTATAGTTAATAAAAGTAATTACACATTAGTTCACAAATCCATACAACTAAAAGAGAATATCCTTAGGTATCACTATTAAAACCTAAATAAGATCTTTTGAAAATAACCTCTTTGCAAACAGATACTTCTTGTAATTAATAGTTTCACAAAAACTTGAAAAGAAACATCCTTAGCCAGCACACATCATTTAAAACAAACCCTGAATCAAATCTAGAGAGGACAATAACGTTTTTAGATGTCTTGGTGAGTGAAAATTAATGGCTGTTTTTATTTAATTTGAGCTTATTTATTTTTTTAAAAACTAACTTCATCCCTCTCTTCTCATTTCACAGAGAGTGTCTTAATTAACATAGTCATTTACACCCCAGGCTTATCTCAACCCCCACATCCAGGGGGGGCTCCAACGTGTGTGTGTGTGTGTGTGTGTGTGTGAATTGTTCTTAAAGGTAAGGGTTAGATCATTTGGAAAAAGCGAGAGTCTTTTGCAGTCAAACCGGGGGGAAATCTGCCACTTCCTCACAGAGCCCCTCCTCCAACACACATGAACGCGCGCTTGACCAAAAGAGGGCACGAGATAAGTTTGTGCACAGGCTGTAGGCGTCTGACCCCCGCACTGCTGCTGCATTCGTTTCTTGACTGACGCTACGGACGGATGGCTGTAAGTTGTCACAGGCTGATTAAACCCCATTCGAGGCGTCTCTTGCCATTTTTCTTTTTTGAAAAGGTGACTGGGTAAATGGAATTGCTGTCTTGTTATTTCGTTTGAACGTATTTCTACCTAATTCCACCCCCCACTATTTGTTCGCGTCATAGCCCCGGAAGGGGTAGAAAAGGGGGGAGGCTGGGAGGGGGGCTGGGTAGACAGTCTCACACATAACTTCAAAGAGACACCTAGATTAACATCAAAGGTTTATAGCACACCAGTGTGAAGTCACACCGGCCTGTTATAACACTTCACATCAAAGGGCAAACACCAAAGGCTAATTAGATTAGACGTCATAATTAGATTAGACGTCATAATTAGATTAGACGTCATAATTAGATTAGACGTCATAATTAGATTAGACAACAAAAGGGCTCTGAGGGGGGCCTACAAATACAGCTTCAAAGAGACTTAATCAACACATCAAAGAATTAGACAACAAAGGCGCTAGCCCAGGGGGCTTTTCACATAACACACATCAAAAGGATCTCGAACAAAGGCGCTGCAGGGGGGCATTTCACCCCTATGGGGTGATGACACCTCACCCTCACATCAAAGGATGTCGAACAATGGGAGGCGGGACTTAGCTCATTTGCATAATTGGGGGCGTGTCCACCTGTAACTTGTTATGCATACTAATGTGTACGATTACTAATGCATAACTACACCATAGTTGTGTAGGCCTATATGATATGTCAATAAACCTTAGAACATCTTGAAATCTTGAAAGGGATGTGCAAACTAGTCATTATATACAGTCTTTAATGAACTATTAGTAGAGAATAACGAGTAATGAATATACTTTATAGGGATCCTATTAATATCTAATAATAAAAATAATGAAATTCAATAACATGCTTTAACCACTGGGTGTCCCTTTATATCAGCTGTGCACCTTTTTGGTGTAAATACAGCCTATCTACCAATTGGATCAAAACGTCACGTCCGTTAATTCCACATCTACACGCATGGATTAACATCGATTTAATACATGAATGTAGCCTTTGTTCCTGCTCAAAGAGGTGTCGACCAGCTGGGGCAACAAGAACATCGACGTAATCGAGTGTGGCTATTAAAAAATAAATCATTACGTTGGGGTAGCATTTGCTTGGTATTTCCGGTTATTTCTCCACTGGTTAACGTGGGTTAACAATAAGTAACTGTCACGTTTGAAGGGACGAAATTGTGACATCTTCACGTCTCCCAGCATGGTACATCGTCACATGTTCACGTCTTGCCGTGATACCGGGTTGGTGTTTTGGCCACATTGCTTCCCTTCTGATCAGGGGCGGACTGGGACTAAAATTCAGCCCTGGAAACTGACCCAGTCCGGCCACATGAAATGTCAAATGTTAGAAATCCGCTGTTTATTATTTAAAGTTTTACGTCAGATTCGCTCCTTTTTTCCTCTCTGTACACAGCTCCAGTTTGGGCATTGGCCTGTCATCAGATTTCATTTTTAGTTGCTGCTGTAGCGGAAGTTTAGTACAATTCTTTTTTGATGAAATACTCCACCCTCCATAATTGCACTTGCTTCAGTTGCATGCTACTTTGTAAGGGCAGTGATGACAGTTACAGTATGAACTGAAGTTGATGCGATTTGATTGGATTGTGAGGCATGACGTGAGCCTCATCTGATTGGTCAATCCCTCCATTTTATTTCACCACGGGAAGCCAATTTCGGCTGGCCTCCTCTCACAACAGAGTGCAATCTACTGTTTCACCATAACATCTAGAGGGGCGCTGTTTCACTCTTTGTAAAAATACTCAAAGAGAATGGGGGAGAGACGGGCCGGCAGAATAATTACCGAAACTAAACGAAGTGTTTTCATTTATTTATTAATATTATAACCACAATCCAAAAAAACAGGGGAAGCCTGGCTTCCCTTGGCCTCCAGGAGAAAACGCCACTGAGTTCAAGGAATAATTCTCACCCACCTCTTGCTCTTGCCCTGCACGTGTGCCAGTTGAGCTGGTTCTTCCAGCAGCTCAACTCTGTCCCTCATCATGAACGCAGGAGGCTGGCTGTATATCTGAACTCGCGCCCTCATCATTCTCTTCATCATCTTGCTAAGCTGCTGCTGATAGTACTTGTAGCAGCGCTGCTGCCAAAAAGGTCTGTCAATTTGCGACATTGATATGCTTCACCTGCGAGTGACTTCACCTTTTTTTTTCTTGCCTTCTCGGCCCTACCTTTTTCTTTTCGTTTTCTTTGATTTGTATCCATGTGTTTTCATTCTCCCTGTCTGCCGCGGCGTTTAATCCCTTCTCTTCATGTGGCCGGTCTTTTTTCTTCTTCGTGTGTGATTAATTGATAGATAAGAACCACACAACTGCATTAGCAGCCGCTGTCGCCCTCTGTCGGCCGTCAGCGCAACTTAAATGATGACGTTAAACACTTTTTTTTATTTTAAAGGGCCGGCCGTCAACGGCCCTTGACGACCGGCCGTTCTGTGGTTATCCAGATTCTCCAGATGGCCAGTCCGCCCCTGCTTCTGATGAAACAATGCATTCGCTTTTTATCTCAGCCTCATTGTAGCGAAAATGGGCCCAAATATCGCATCGTTTCTTTCTCCCAAGCAGTGGTGGCTTTAGACTTTTTCGTTGTCAGTCATTTTGACGGACAGGATCGTAACATTTCCGTCATAATCCATTATTACCCGTCGAGTACACAATTTATCACTCACTCGCGCTGACAGGGGGTATTCGGTTAACGCGAGTGCGACCACTGCTCCCAAGCCCTGTTGCCATTTTATTTTCTGTTGAATAAGGTTAGTTAGACCATGAGTTAGACCCGAGTCTTCCTGACAGTTCACAGTGTGCCGCTGCCCGGTGTAATTCAAATCTACCGCCGCGCGCAGCACAGACACACACAGCTGCTGCCCTGCCGCAGCACCGGAAATGGAACTGCTGGGAGAAAAACTGACTATCAGAGATGTAACGTTATCTTTGATAATATTTCGTCTCCTCGTTTTTCGTCAACGAAAGTAAAGAGAGATTTTGGCATAGTTTTTATTTAGTAAACTACATTTTCGTCTCGTCACTTTTCGTCAACGATATTGCATGATGATTTCGTTGCAGTTATTGTTTACTGCCGTCGGTGCCGTCTCGTCATCATCTCGTTTTCGTCATGGAAAAAAAGGTTGTTGACGAACATATTTCGTCATAGTTTTAGTCAACGAAATTAACACTAGCGGCCACTCTAGTCAATGGGTGCTATTCCACCAGACGCGCCGCGTTACGGCTCAGAAACGTCCCAGAAGCGTCTCGCCGCTGGGCTCCGCTCGAAATAGGATTGAAGTCTATTTTTCGACGCGACGCAGCCGTAAGGTAATGTCGGGCAGGAAGTGGAACGGTGACAGCATCCGGCCCACTCCCCAAAACTGGTTCCTTCTCCTCCCCCCATCCCTCCTCTGTAGTCTTTCCAGTAGGAGAATAAAGGCCAGCGTTCTCCTTCGGTTTACAGGCACTGTGTGTAAATGATATAGAATAATTATGATGATGAATGCATTTTTTTACCACTAAAATACAGCAACTCATCTTTGATTCATTTTTTTAACTGGACTATTACAATTATTAATAATTATGTCTGTAGTCTACAACACAACAAAATAGGAAATAACAACAATAAACACGATTTAAACAGACACAAAAATAAACCATTTAACTACGTAGCCTACTTTCTTGTAGAAGTACAAATGTCCAGGAAATATGCCCAAATCAACAAGAACTGCGAGCCGGCATGCACGACGCTCCGCTTCCGTAATGCTTCTGAAACGCTTCTGAAACGCGCCCGGTAGGGTATGACGCCGGAGGAGGCCGGACCAACACCGCGGCGCAGCCGTAACGCGCCGCGGACAGACCCGGTGGAAACTAGGGGTTAGGCTCCATTCAAATCTTGAAGTCGGTGTAAAGAGGTTTTAAACTGTGTATCTATCGTGTCGGTGATATATTTCACGTGTGCTTTGTTTTTACTTATTGCTGCAGAAATGTAAATATAGTCTGCTTCAGGTTTATGTATTTAAAGTAGGGCTGTCGATTACAATTTTTAATCAGATTAATCACAGCTTAAAAATTAATTAATCATGATTAATCACCATTCGACCTATGTCCAAAATATGTCATTTCTTTATGTATATTGTTGGGAATGGAAAGATAAATGAAAGAAGGCGGATATATCCATTTAACATACAGTATCTATGTTTATTATAACATTTTTCTGCGTGTCAAAATGAAAGACAACCCACACACCTATCAATCATCAAACCGTGGGGTCTTAATTCATTACGTGTTGATTTCTATCAACGGGGGAGTACTTCAGGAAAGTCGACAGGGGGGGGGGGGGGCTAGTGGAGTACTTCGTGACCACAGAGTGTGAACGTTGTGATCAGCTGTTTTAGCTCAGTTCTCCAGTGAAGGGGGGGAGTCTCCCTCCGCAGCCGGTTGGCGTAGTTTTGGCACAATTCCGTTGTACAGACCGACGTTAACAGCAGCCCTGTCTGTGCACGCGGAGACCGACTATGTCGTCCGGCGATCTAACCGCCTTCTGGAAAAGCTTCACAAGTACGTCGGTACGCAAATGCGCTTTGTGACACAAGTGACGGTACGCATTTCAGATTACGCACATAACCTGCGTACCAGTTATGTGCACCCCTGTACTACAGCAAAAGTATTCTCCGTCGGGACTTCCTGCAACAACACCACGCCGTTATCTTGATTCTGATTGGCCAGAAGACATTATCAAAGGTGTTATATTGAGAAGACGATCACTACGTGACAAAAGTTTTCAAAACCGTTTCTGGTCTTTGGTATTTCCAGACAAGTGGCTGAAATCAATCTTACTAACTGCTGTCTGTGCAATTCTCTGCGCGAGTTGGCAGACTTTATTTTGCTTACTTTAACATCATTGTTCATGGTGGGGCTAAGCCATTTCTTGGTATGGGTGTAGCCTACCCTAGCAGCCAGACCCTAGCGCTGCCACTGGTGGGATGTATGGGGCGGGCCATTCTGCACATGCGTTAAATGCGTTAAATATTTTAACGCAATTAATTAAAAAAATTAATTACCGCCGTTAACGCGATAATTTTGACAGCATTAATTTAAAGTTAATAATATTTCCAGTATATCTCTACTAAATACTTAAAATATATGCTTTAGGGATGTTTCTGGGTAATCTGTTATTCATTTTCTACGAAGTAGATTTACCTGAAATGTGAAATAATTTAATATTTTCCAAAGTATTGGAAACTTTTTGACCATTTGCTATTCCTGTATATCTGTATCTGCAAAGGATTGTGGGTCAGAAGTAAAGGCACTTTAAAGACATTTTATTTGAGTAAAAGTACTATCAATTTTAAAAGAGTGTGCAAACATTTTTGAACAGATTTTTATTTGAAATATTTGTAGAAAAGGTCTTTGCAAGATATACTTTATTTCAGTAACACAGAATTATTTGTTTAGCAAAAACAAACAATCTTTTTGAACCAATTTAAAGATGGTGTTCAAGTTATAATAGTACAATGTGTAATTATATCACCCCATAAGAACTATAACACGTGGAGTTTCTGATCTACGGAGGAGTTCAGACTTCTTTAACTTCAGATCAGAACTGATGCTCCGTGGTGACAGCAGACATGACATCATCGCAGTCATCATCCAATCCCTGCTCAGCGTGGGTGGGCGGGGTCATCGCCACGGAGACAGACGAGTCGTTTCCTGGTGTCAGAAAGAAAATGTGTTAAGAATATCAACACCAGAACTTCCCGACCCGATGATAGAGCTTGGTCGATTTCTGGTGCAATCCTGTATAAAAGAGACAAGGATGCAGATGCACTAAATGTCATATTTCATTAATGTAGCTTTAAAATGGCGGATGTCTCATTTAGTTAAATGGGTTTCATTTGAACAAAATAAGTTTCTTACCTCTGGCCCTCTCTCGATACAAAGACACCACAATGTAAGTGCAGATGCAGTACGGGCAGAAAACCACCAGGTGGCGGAGCAGCCTGAACACAAGGTGGAGGGAGGAGGCAGGAGGTGCAGAGGAGGCTGTGGGCGGCTCCATGGAGGTCGTAGGTTTTTCTGCAGAGAGAATCACACCTGGTCAGGTGAACATCTGAAGGAGTGAGTCCTGAAACCAAAGCAAAGCTCCTCACCTGAGACAGACAGCCGGCTCTCTGGAGACTCTTTACTCTGGAAGCTACACTTGTAGAGGCCTTCATCAGACCTGGAGACATGGAGGAGGGTCATGTGACCATCAGACTCAGTCCCAATGAAGACGCCATCTTTGAAGAAATCAGCAGAGGGGGGGTCGGCCATCTTTGTTCTACAGGTCAGAGTGACGTCATCTCCCTCCATCACAGGGAGGGCAGGACTCTGCAGGATCACTGATCCACCTGAACACAGAGACAGAACCAACATCTACTCTGACAGGATCAACTCTATACCTGAAGAGACAGAAACAACATCTACTCTGACAGGATCAACTCTATACCTGAAGAGACAGAAACAACATCTACTCTGACAGGATCAACTCTATACCTGAAGAGACAGAAACAACATCTACTCTGACAGGATCAACTCTATACCTGAAGAGACAGAAACAACATCTACTCTGACAGGATCAACTCTATACCTGAAGAGACAGAAACAACATCTACTCTGACAGGATCAACTCTATACCTGAAGAGACAGAACCAACATCTACTCTGACAGGATCAACTCTATACCTGAAGAGACAGAGACAACATCTACTCTGACAGGATCAACTCTATACCTGAAGAGACAGAAACAACATCTACTCTGACAGGATCAACTCTATACCTGAAGAGACAGAAACAACATCTACTCTGACAGGATCAACTCTATACCTGAAGAGACAGAAACCAACATCTACTCTGACAGGATCAACTCTATACCTGAAGAGACAGAAACAACATCTACTCTGAACAGGATCAACTCTATACCTGAAGAGACAGAACCAACATCTACTCTGACAGGATCAACTCTATACCTGAAGAGACAGAAACAACATCTACTCTGACAGGATCAACTCTATACCTGAAGAGACAGAACCAACATCTACTCTGACAGGATCAACTCTATACCTGAAGAGACAAAACAACATCTACTCTGACAGGATCAACTCTATACCTGAAGAGACAGAACAACATCTACTCTGACAGGATCAACTCTATACCTGAAGAGACAGAACCAACATCTACTCTGACAGGATCAACTCTATACCTGAAGAGACAGAACCAACATCTACTCTGACAGGATCAACTCTATACCTGAAGAGACAGAAACAACATCTACTCTGACAGGATCAACTCTATACCTGAAGAGACAGAACAACATCTACTCTGACAGGATCAACTCTATACCTGAAGAGACAGAAACCAACATCTACTCTGACAGGATCAACTCTATACCTGAAGAGACAGAAACAACATCTACTCTGACAGGATCAACTCTATACCTGAAGAGACAGAAACAACATCTACTCTGACAGGATCAACTCTATACCTGAAGAGACAGAAACAACATCTACTCTGACAGGATCAACTCTATACCTGAAGAGACAGAAACAACATCTACTCTGACAGGATCAACTCTATACCTGAAGAGACAGAACCAACATCTACTCTGACAGGATCAACTCTATACCTGAAGAGACAGAAACAACATCTACTCTGACAGGATCAACTCTATACCTGAAGAGACAGAAACAACATCTACTCTGACAGGATCAACTCTATACCTGAAGAGACAGAGACAACATCTACTCTGACAGGATCAACTCTATACCTGAAGAGACAGAAACAACATCTACTCTGACAGGATCAACTCTATACCTGAAGAGACAGAAACAACATCTACTCTGACAGGATCAACTCTATACCTGAAGAGACAGAAACAACATCTACTCTGACAGGATCAACTCTATACCTGAAGAGACAGAAACAACATCTACTCTGACAGGATCAACTCTATACCTGAAGAGACAGAACAACATCTACTCTGACAGGATCAACTCTATACCTGAAGAGACAGAAACAACATCTACTCTGACAGGATCAACTCTATACCTGAAGAGACAGAAACAACATCTACTCTGACAGGATCAACTCTATACCTGAAGAGACAGAGACAACATCTACTCTGAGAGGATCAACTCTATACCTGAAGAGACAGAAACAACATCTACTCTGACAGGATCAACTCTATACCTGAAGAGACAGAAACAACATCTACTCTGACAGGATCAACTCTATACCTGAAGAGACAGAACCAACATGACATGTTTGTGCCTATTATTGTATCCTTGTGAGGACTATCTGGAGTTGTAGTACTTAAGAAGAACATTAGAATATTCTAGAGAGAAATAAAACTTCAAACATGATGTTTACTAGTCCCTACAGTACTGAGGTGTAGTGGATGATAGCATTTGCTTTGCATGAGAGAATGTGTGTTGTGTACCCTGTGGTTAGCACAAGCTAGCAGCTCTGTGGTCGGCTGATGGAAACATGTAATGACTCATAGAGTTTGTTGAGAGGCTGATCTTACCAGAGACGGTGATGGTGATGGTGTTACTGGTGGATCCCTCTGTGGACTCACACCAGTACTCTCCACTGTCCAAAGGGTCAGAGGAGTCGATGGTACAGGAGAAACCAGCAAATGTTCCCCAGTCGACTCCACACTCAGCTCTGTTATCAATGCTCGTGTTTCTCCTCACAGTCCATCCCTCAGAGGCGTCCTCACATCTCAGAGAGACAGGTTCATCTCTAAACACCTGAGAGCTGCTTGGAGTCACCGTGAGACGAGCTGGAAGATTTATAAAACACTGAAGAAGAAGAAGCCACTGATATGTTCACTGATGAATCTAACATGCAGAGTTCAGTTTGTGAGGACAGAAAAGAGTTCAGTTACTCTGAGAGTGATGCATCAGGTCAACAGAGACTCAGCTCTGAGTTTGTGAGACGGAGAAAGTGTACTGACCCTGGTTAGTGGAGCAGCTCAGCAGGGAGGTGAGGACTGAGGAGAAACCACAGTGTGAGTTTACTGCGACACCCAGGACACTTCAACAGGTCTGTATGCTGCTTTTAGAACACATTCATGTAGTGCAGAGTTAGCACGAGTCAGACTGGATAGAAGTTGAGGAAATACCAGACTTCTCTTTCAGCACTTGAATGCACCACAACAATCATATTAGTGTGCAGTTCCTCCTGAACGTACCAGTCAGTAAAGAGAGTTCCATCTCTCCAGACTCTGGATGCTTGTTGTGCAGGTCAGTGACCTCTCAGGTGTGTTTATGATATCTGAACGCCTTCCCTCATGCTAACAGTATAAAGATTGTACTTACAGACGAGGCGTTGAAGACTTGTTGGATCCATTGTACCTCTTTGTGATGTGGCATCAAACTGTTTCTCTGAAAGTAGCCCACACCAGTTTCCTTCCTGTCACCGCTTCCTTCAACCACTCTGAACACCTTTTGAAACACATCTGCTAATCCTTCAGGTTATCAGTTTTACTCTTAGCTACAAGGCTTCTGTGGTTAATACAAATAAAATAGTTTCCACTCAAATGAGACTCAGAGAATACTCTCTCAGTCAGAGTGAACACAACAACACAAGAGGCACAACTCAACATAAAAGCGTTTATTGAAGCAAAGTAAGATTCTCTTTATGTTTCTGTTGGATGATAAACGTTAAATAGTTGTAATAATTGTGTCGGCATCTTCCACACAGGTGGACCACCTCTGTCTCTGAATTGGCTGCAACTTGGGAATTGTAGTCTTTTATTCACCATGCAGTGCACAAGGTCGCCACTAGATGGCAATATTACTTTGTAAAATGATCTTAATAATAAACAACAATACACTTTTCATGTTAAGATTGTTTTTGTATAAATAAGTCTTAACAACAATCAGAGTTCATTAATTTTATTTTGTAAATTGTCCATGAATCTATTTGTATATGTAACCAATATAATTTGTTTTGTATGGTATATCATATTTTGATATACATTTGAATACAGCGTCTTAAAATGCACACTGAGACTGATGATTTAATGGGATGCATAATTATAGAAATGGAAATGGAAAGGAAGAGAAATGTCGTTGTGACTTGTGCGTATAGAGCACCGGATTCAAATGTAGAGATGTTTAAAGATAGTTTAGGAGTATTAATGGATGGCCTAAATGAAAATAAAACATGTATTATTTCTGGGGATTTTAACATCGACCTTCTAAATGAATCCAAACACAAAACAACTTCTGATTTCCTGGATGCATTGCACAGCAGGGGGCTCCATCCCCTAATCACCAAGCCCAGTAGAATAACATCAACCTGTGCAACATTGATCCACCATATCTTTACAAAGGTCATGGAAAAGACAGTGCTAAGAGTGGGCTGATAATAAATGACATAAGCGAACATTTACCTGTATTTGTAGCATATGATTGGCAATTAAAGAAAAAGAAGGGAGAGACTTGCAGTAGATATGTCCGGGTAAGGAGTGTCCTCTTAAAGGAAGAGAGGGAAGAGACTCACAGTAGATATGTCCGGGTAGGGGGCTAAGGATGGGACCTCTTAAAGGAAGAGACGGGTCAAGAAGAGACTCCACAGTAGATATGTCCGGGTAAGGAGGGACCTCTTAAGGAAGAGAGGGAAGAGACTCACAGTAGATATGTCCGGGTTAAGGAGGACCTCTTAAAGGTAAGAGAGGGAAGAGACTCACAGTAGATATGTCCGGGTAAGGAGTGCGACCTCTTAAATGAAGAGAGGAGGAAGAGACTCACAGTAGTATGTCCGGGTAAGGAGGGACCTCTTAAAGGAAGAGAGGCAGAGGACTCCCATTAGATATGTCCCGGGTAAGGGAGGGACCTCTTAAGAAGAGGAGAGGAAGAGACTGCACAGTAGATATGTTCCGGGTAAGGAGGGACCTCTTAATAGGAAGAGAAGGAACGAGGACTCACAGTAGATATGTCCGGGTAAGGACGTGACCTCTTAAAGGAGAAGAGAAGGAAGAGACTCAACACAGTAGGACCTGTCGGGTAAGGAGGGACCTCTTTAAAGGAAGAGGAGGGAAGAGACTCACAGTAGATATGTCCGGGTAAGGAGGGACCTCTTAAAGGAAGAGAGGGAAGAGACTCACAGTAGATATGTCTGGGTAAGGAGGGACCTCTTAAAGGAAGAGAGGGAAGAGACTCACAGTAGATATGTCCGGGTAAGGAGTGTCCTCTTAAAGGAAGAGAAGGAAGAGACTCACAGTAGATATGTCCGGGTAAGGAGTGTCCTCTTAAAGGAAGAGAAGGAAGAGACTCACAGTAGATATGTCTGGGTAAGGAGGGACCTCTTAAAGGAAGAGAGGGAAGAGACTCACAGTAGATATGTCCGGGTAAGGAGGGACCTCTTAAAGGAAGAGAAGGAAGAGACTCACAGTAGATATGTCCGGGTAAGGAGTGTCCTCTTAAAGGAAGAGAGGGAAGAGACTCACAGTAGATATGTCCGGGTAAGGAGGGACCTCTTAAAGGAAGAGAGGGAAGAGACTCACAGTAGATATGTCCGGGTAAGGAGGGACCTCTTAAAGGAAGAGAGGGAAGAGACTCACAGTAGATATGTCCGGGTAAGGAGTGTCCTCTTAAAGGAAGAGAAGGAAGAGACTCACAGTAGATATGTCCGGGTAAGGAGGGACCTCTTAAAGGAAGAGAAGGAAGAGACTCACAGTAGATATGTCCGGGTAAGGAGTGTCCTCTTAAAGGAAGAGAGGGAAGAGACTCACAGTAGATATGTCCGGGTAAGGAGGGACCTCTTAAAGGAAGAGAGGGAAGAGACTCACAGTAGATATGTCCGGGTAAGGAGGGACCTCTTAAAGGAAGAGAGGGAAGAGACTCACAGTAGATATGTCCGGGTAAGGAGTGTCCTCTTAAAGGAAGAGACTCACAGTAGATATGTCCGGGTAAGGAGTGTCCTCTTAAAGGAAGAGACTCACAGTAGATATGTCCGGGTAAGGAGTGTCCTCTTAAAGGAAGAGAAGGAAGAGACTCACAGTAGATATGTCCGGGTAAGGAGGGACCTCTTAAAGGAAGAGAAGGAAGAGACTCACAGTAGATATGTCCGGGTAAGGAGGGACCTCTTAAAGGAAGAGAAGGAAGAGACTCACAGTAGACATGTCCGGGTAAGGAGGGACCTCTTAAAGGAAGAGAAGGAAGAGACTCACAGTAGATATGTCCAGAGTCTGTTAGTAATAAATGAGGGGGAGGTGATCTGAGAACTGTTTCCAGTCCAAATTGAGGCGAAAGGGGAAATACATACTGTGTGCACATATTGTATTCAAATGTTAAATGTGGTCCAACCAGTTAGGTTACAAACAATGCAAAATACCTCTACCACCTCAACCACAATGCATTTGAACGTACCCAGATATCCATTGGCAGGCAGATCATTTTGAATGTATGGCCTAAATGTCATAAATGTAGGATTTGACACCAAGACCATTCATTTAGGGCAGGTGTCATTTTATAACAAATACTGATATTTTCCAAGCCATCATTGGTGGTCATTTTGATCGTTGAGGGTCTTTCTCCAAAGAGTGACCCCCATGGAGTACACGTGCCAGTTACAGTGCTTGTATCCCCTTGTGAAAGATTTCCCTGGTATATTCAGTTATCTGCAGCACTGTATTTTGAGCAGCAAACCCTTCTCTCTTCATAGAGCTCAACAGTGACTGCTGACAGGGTGTGTGCGTGTTTTTATTTACATGTTTACATATGCTAAGTTTATGCCACTTCCTTACCCACTGAACAGCAGCGCTTTGGTTCTCAGGCGAGGTCATTCCAGCAGTCGGTCAGTGCCTCAGTCTTGGTACTCTGTGAGTTTGAGACTTTGAGATCTGTTTCCTGTCGGTCTGTTTAAAGCCTCCTGGTCCTCTGCTTGCTCCCTACAGGTCAGTCTGCTTGTATGATCTCTGTGTGTTTGTGTTGGAATTATGTAGTACTTTATGCAGTACTGCTGTTTGTGAGTTTGCTGCTTTATATATATATATATATATATATATATATATATATATATATATATATATATGTGTTTTGGTACACTAACGTACTTTTGGGGTATATTTATATTTCATGCAAATCATTTTCTTCATCTTAATGTCATAATAGTTTTTTAAAAATTGTTTATATATATTTCCTTCTTAGTACAATGTATAGTCTATACCGGTGTTTATGTATGAACCAAATACAGCAAGGCACATTTCTGGTATGTGTAAACCTGTTTTTACAGAATCATATGGTCTGAGCTTAAATATATTCAAATAAGATTGCATTTCGATCCCCGCACTTGAACCTCCCATTTTACCGTTACACGTGACTTCCGCTTCGCCTCACTTCACCTATTTGAGCCGAGCATTGTGACGAATGGTTAGTTTAAGTTCTCTTCTTAAACTCTTAAACTCACTTTCATGGCTCAATTAGCATTAGCTCTGTTTGTGGTCCTGTCGATCAGCAGTTCATCAGGAGGTAAGGCGATAATCAGAATTTGGTTTGTTGTTAGCTTTCACCGAAAGTGTTAGCTTCCACGTATGGCTGTAACACGCGGGTCCATATGAGATGCGGCATACTTCCTTTGTTTATTGGTCTTGTTCTATGTAGCTTAATGCAGTCGGTTTGTTCTATACTGTTTAAACCAGTCTACTGTATGTTCACTTCATAGCCACTTCATAATAATAGTTTGTCTTTTGTTTCCTTCACAATGCAAACTCTGTAGCTAACCATGCTAACCATGCTAACCATGCTAACCATGCTAACCTATGCCTGACTCCTCGGTGCTAAAATATCATTGAAATGCAGCCAGATGTTTCTTTTTGCAGGTCTTTGTTGTCACACACATATAACAGCAACACCTGCTCTGCAATACAACTTATGTGAATATATATATATATATATTTACAGCTTTATAAATATTATATTATTACTGGCTCCCCTTAGTTAGACAACTCAATTCACCTCATGTAATAAATGTAACTGTTCAATATATCCTGCTTTTAAATACTATCGCCTGGCTACTATCTCACAACTGTTACTGGTACTGGATGTGTATTTTTTATAACTTCAATTTGTTATCTTTCAAATGTAATGCCTTTTAACTTTTAATTAACATTAAGCTATCTTTGGCTCTTGCTGTAACAATGTAAATGTCCCTTCTGTGGGACTAATACAGGTATGCTGCTTCCAGGGGTTACGTTGGGATTTGATATGTGGGGGGGCCTGACCTTAAGGGCTATTCTGTATATGAGGCCCTAAAGAATCTGCTCCATTATCTGTATCGAATGCACACATTGATGCCACTAAATGACTCGATACAAATAGAAAGTACTACAAATTAATCTTAAATTATTAATATACATGTATACACAAGATTTTTTTTTACAAATATCCAACCTTCAAATGTATATTTTAAATCAACATTGCTCTTCACACTTGCTAAAGAACATCTGTGTGGTAATCTCAGTTCATTTGTAGGGCTGCACAAGTGTGGCCAAAAGTAAAAAGTGTAAACTATTTAATTATGACCGATCATACCTCAGCTTTATGCCCACAGGGTCACACACACACACACACACACACACACACACACACACACACACACACACACACACACACACACACACACACACACACACACACACAGTCCTCAGACCCTCTGTCCTTAGACCCTCTGTCCTCAGACCCTCTGTCCTCAGACCCTCTGTCCCTAGACTCTCTGTCCTTTGACCCTCTGTCCTCAGACCCTCTGTCCCTAGACTCTCTGTCCTTTGACCCTCTGTCCTTAGACCCTCTGTCCCTAGACTCTCTGTCCTTAGACCCTCTGTCCTCAGACCCTCTGTCCTCAGACCCTCTGTCCTCAGACCCTCTGTCCTCAGACCCTCTGTCCTCAGACCCTCTGTCCTTAGACCCTCACATCGTACAAGGAAACACTTCCGGAGAAACCCACAGTTTAAAGGGAACATGGGAGAAACCTCAGGGAGAGCAACAGAGGAGGGATCCCTCTCCCAGGACGGACAGACGTGCAATAGATGCCGTGTGTAAATCCAAGAGATAATACATTTTACAGCATATCGACCGAATGTTAGGAAATGCATGTGTCTGTAATAAGAAGACTGGAAGTGTTGCTGACATCAAGTCTACCATCCTCTTAAAATACTCTGTCCAACAATATCAGTCTCATGAAGAAAGGTTTTTTTAATGCTTATTCAAAACAGCAGAGAAACATGCATTCTTGTTCTCAGGAGGGGACTTTGACAGTGGAGTACTGGAAAAGTACACAGTAAGTACTTCATAGTACTTGTGGGGGTAGTTTCAGTAATACTGAGTCCAACAGGATCAATCTCACGAAGAACTAATGGCAACAAAAAAGAATTCCTCTCATCAAACTGAGCAGAAGTGGCTTGATGTTGTTCTCAGCAGGGACTCTGACAGAGGAGTACTCACAAAGTACACAGTAAAGTACTTCAATGTATTGTTAGTAGGCTAATACAAAGTCAAACAGTATCAATTTCATTAAGAACTAATGGTACAATTACAGTGGTGTAGTGGGGATTTTTTTACTGGGGGGACGCTATTTTAATTAGGTCATCCCAGAGCCCTAGAGAGATAAGTATCTCTCTAGGGCTCTGGGTCATCCCAAACAATGCCACACAAGTGCGCACGCGCGCAGTGCAGTCACAAAACGGGCAGACATGCAGGTCCACATAAACTACCGGTATGCTTAGTCCTACTTTAGTTACTGTACTTCAAAAAGCAGACGGCGCTGCGCTCAACACACACAGACTCAAAACCATGGACACACTGGCACATAAGTTACAACAATGTATAGGCCTAAATTGCATAAACTACAACTAAGCAGACAGCGCTGCTTCTCTCTATCTCCACTTTCAAAATCTATTTAAAACTCATAACAAACAAACTAAATTCCCAAAGTTGTCCTGAAATTAACTTATTAAATAAACGAAACGAAAAACATAGCCTACTAATGCAAACATTGAATCTGGACTTGAAATTATTCTGATTAGGCCTAGCCTACATTGCAAATAAGCAGACAGCACTGCTACACACACACACACACACACACACACACACACACACACACACACACACACACACACACACACACACACACACACAAGTGCACGTTAGCTAGCATTATCCACGTCTTTAGGCGGCTCTTCTGATGATGTATTACTAGCAGCTTCACTTGTAGCTTCGGTGCTAGCCTCTTTCTTCTTGTGAATTATATTCTTTTTAGAAAAGAAGTCAAGTAAAAAACGTTTTCCTTCCATTATAGAGCTGTTTCGTTAGAGTTCTTGAGGGAAAGAGCTGCCGCAAAACCGGCGGGCGGTGAGCTGGCCGTGGGTGTGTCACTGACACACCCACGGCCAGCTCACCGCCGCGGGGTCACGAGCGTGATGACGAATCATCATTTTTGAAGGAAATCGTTTTTATTTTTTATTATAGGCCATTACTGTGAAATGTATTATGTTTTTGTCATTATTACAACAAATACACACTTGCAACTGATAAGACTGGCAATGATTTTATATTTATTAGACTATTGAAAAAAAGATCATGCTCCAAATAAGTGGGGGTACGGCGTCCAACGCCCACTACACCACTGTACAATTATATTTGTATCATTCATCAAAGACAGCAGAAAACATGCATTACTAAGGAGGGGAACTCTGACAGAGGATTACTCACAAAGTACACAGTAAAGTACTTCATTTTATTTCTGGTAGAAGTCAAACTAGAACCGAGTCCAAGAGAGTCAGGTTCCTTAAGAACTTGTGGTAAAACATATTTGTATCACTCATTGAATATAGCAGGAATGAAGAGCAGCTGATTTGAAAAGACAAAGTGGAGAGACGCGGAGTGACCGCAGTGCAGAACCGCTGTGTAGTTGAACTCTCCTAACAATGTTCTCCATTTTAGACACAGGCTTATTATATTTACAGCCTTAGTAACGTTCATTCTCTGGGCTCAATGTGTGTCTGTTTCCGTTGAGATCGCTAAATGCACCTTGTTTATAATAATCACCGTTCCTTCAGTACTTCAATACTGCAGTGATTCAAAGTGTGACTTTAGCAAACGAGTGCTTTTGTTTTGAAATCACTTCCGTGAGTTTGGCCCCGCCCCTCGCTCCAAGGACCATGAGACCATTAGTAAGGTGAAAGCAGAAAGGCCTCCCAGACGCTCTTCCGTTTACGTGTTTAATAAAGAAAAACAATTGGACCGTAGATCCACGGATTCATAAATAATATCAATAATAATCTTTATACAAAATTATTAATAACAACAATAAATAATGAAATGCATAATAATCATAATTCATGAATAATAGTAATTTACCTTTAACAACAGTCTCTTAAAAATGTAATAATAATAAAACTCTAAATGATCTGTAGTGGCCTTTCTAGACTACACACAGGTGTTTGTGATCTTTACGTTGAACATCCTGTGCACTAAATGACCTTTACGTTGTGATCTTCTGGATGACAACACTACACATCCTTTGTGTAGTTTAATGAGGACACACAGTGGGACTAATCGAGAATGAACTGATCGCAATCAAATGACTGACTTTTGCCTTTATTTTCTAGAGTCGCTCGAAATAAATGGAAATCAAGAGGTGAGGGCAGAGCCTGGAGAAAACGTCACTCTTCAGTGCAACAGTGTCACAGATGCTGCCATCAGAGTGTTAGAGTGGAAGAGACCTGAGCTGGAGGACTCCGTCTTCTTCTTCAGAGAAAACAGGCTGATGGAAAGCTTACCAGAATCCACGTTATCACGGTCGTGTTCAGCTGAAAGATCCAGAGATGAAGAACGGAGACGCTTCTGTTCTCCTGAAGAACGTCAGCATCGACGACTCGGGAACGTACGAGTGTCGGGTTACTAACTCACTCCAATAATCGCAGGAAGAGAAACGTGAGAGAGTTGGTGCGCTCCGTCAATCTGACCGTCTCTGAAGGTGAGTCTGTGTTTCTCCTGAAGAGTTCCTCCATTGGTTTAAAGATGATGTTGATGCTCTGTGATCGGTAGATAATGTCTGACATGAGACTGGAGAGGAAACAGATTCTGTTCTTCATCTCCTTCATGATCAGCTGTTCTCCAACATGAGGGGAGGTCCAGTCGTTTCCTCACTGCTCGCTCTTTCTGTCCTCAGGGTCCTGAGAAGCATCTGAAGAATGGAGACGCCAACGATGAACAACCAGAGGGTCCCAGAGGATACGTTGGGTGGGGAGTTGGTTTGGGACTGGGTTGTCTCGTTGTTGTTGGTGTTGTTGTTGTTGGTGGACTTGTTGTGAGATCTAAAAGAGCTAAGGTGAAGAGACCATTAGAGAGTGTTGATGTTGAACTGAACCCCCGACACGTCTCAGAGCTCTTCACACCTGACTGTCCTCCATCCCCTGCTTCTAATCTAAATCATCTTCTCCCTGAATCTCCACCTCGACGCGGTGGAGGGGCTTTACCCTCTGAGACGCAAACACCTGGTGAGCAGGGGCGGACTGGCCATCTGTAGAATCTGGAGAACCACAGAACGGCCGGTCGTCAAGGGCCGTTGGCGGCCGGCACTTAAAAAAAAAAAAGGTTTAACGTCATCATTTAAATTGCGCTGACGGCCGACAGAGGGCGACAGCGGCCGATAATGCGGTTGTGTGGTTCTTATGTCAAATAATCACACACGAAGAAGAATAAAGACCGGCCACATGAAGAGAAGGGATTAGACGCCGCCGCAGACAGGGAGAATGAAAAAACATGGTTAAAAAAATAAAAATCAAAGAAAACGAAAAGAAAAAGGTGGGCCGAGAAGGCAAGAGAGAAAAAGGTGAAGTCACTCGCAGGTGGAGCATATCAATGTCGCAAATTGACAGACCTTTTTGGCAGCAGCGCAGCTACAAGCTCTATCATCATCAGCAGCTTAAAACAAGTGCAAGATGATGAAGAGAATGATGAGGGCGCTGAGTTCAGATATACAGCCAGCCTCCTGCGTTCATGATGAGGGACAGAGTTGAGCTGCTGGAAGAACCAGCTCAACCTGGCACACGTGCAGGGCAAGAGCAAGAGGTGGGTGAGAATTATCCCTTGAACTCAGTGGCGTTTTCTCCTGGAGGCCAAGGGAAGCCAGGCTTCCCCTGTTTTTTTGGATTGTAGTTATAATTTTAATAAATACATAAAAACACTTCGTTTAGTTTCGGTAATTATTCTGCCGGCCCGTCTCTCCCCCATTCTCATTGAGTATTTTACAAAGAGTGAAACAGCGCCCCTCTAGATGTTATGGTGAAACAGTAGATTGCACTCTCTGTTGCGAGAGGAGTCTAGCCGAAATTGGCTTCCGTTGGTGAAAAAAAATTGAGGGATTGACCAATCAGATGAGGCTCACGTCATGCCTCACAATCCAATCAAATCGCATCAACTTCAGTTCGTACTGTAACTGTCATCACTGCCCTTAAAAAGTAGCAAGCAACTGAAGCAAGTGCAATTATGGAGGGTGGAGTATTTCATCAAAAATAATTTTACTAAACTTCCGCTACAGCAGCAACTAAAAATGAAATCTGATGACAGGCCAATGATCAAACTGGAGCTGTGCACAGAGAGGAAAAAAGGAGCGAATCAGAAACTTTAAATAATAAACAGCGGATTTCTAACATTTGACATTTCATGTGGCCGGACTGGGTCAGTTTCCAGGGCTGAATGTTAGTCCCAGTCCGCCCCTGCTGGTGAGGGTTGAACCAAACGTGACTCCGTTTCTAACTTCAGTCTGAGAGAGTGCAGAAATATTCTCCTTCAGTGATCAGCCAATCAGAAGGACTCTGCTGCCGAACACTTAGGATCCACGGTGAAGCCTGTCTTTCAGACTCAGCGCTAACAACATGGCGTCTGATCTGGTGTTGGTGTGTCAGAGCCTGGAAGTGATCGTGAGTTCACAAATATCTGATGCAGTGATTCATGGTGAGGTTATTTAGATATCAGCAGGTCAGCTTGAATCTGAACTCGGTGTGAAGAGGTCTCAAAGTGTGCATCTATCGTGTTGGTGATATATTTCACTGTGCTTTGTTTTGACGTATAGCTCCAGAAACACAGTCTGCTTCAGGTTGATGTGTCTGCAGATAATATCTCCACTATATCTCTACTCTACTAAATGCACTTTGAAAATATGCATCAGGGAAATGTCTGGGTGAATCTGAAAATGATTGTTTTGAATAAGACTTTAAAATGTTTATGTATTTTCTACCATATAATGTAAAAAAATACTCTTTTAAGTATAAATTAAAAAGATATTAGAAATATTGTATTTTTTATTCATCTGCTGATTTTTACAGAACATACAATACAAACACACATTTTAAGAAAAAACAATATCAACAATTTTCAAAAGAAATCCAAATAAACATAACTTTATTGATATAACATGGAAACATGTCTTTAGCGTTGAGTTATTGTTCTCCAAACATCTGGATCGAACTCCCAGAAACCTGCAGGTCCGCTGCAACGAAGACTTCTTTGTAACCCAGCAAGAAGACTTTGCTCTTTGCTTTGAACTATTCAGGCTTATTAGTTTAGGGTTAAGTCCCCTTTGTGTGCCGTTAGGGTTCCAAGACCCTGGTTCCCGGAGGACCAACAAGTGCTTCAAAGACAAGGTGAACTTAACCCACAGCTTGCTCTGCACTGTGTCCTGTATTTCAGTGATATATGTTGTCTTTACTTTAGTAAACTGAAGTTCTATTTGTATATATAATGTGTTCTTATTTTCATATCTCAAGGTTAAAACTTGAAACACCTTAAATTCTGTCTGAAATGTACTTTAAAGTCATGTTATTGAGTATTTCTTGTTTTTATGTGTATTTTTATATTTGATCTTATTTTTGATTTTATGAATCTGTGAATCTGTGCTGTTTTTCACCCTGTTTGAACTCCTGAATTCACAGGGGATTAATAAAGCTCCATCTTACCTTATCTCTTATCTTACCCCCCCCCCCCCCCCCCTCAGGTCTGCAGTGGAGGTGAAGCTGAAAGTATTTAGCTTTCTGTTTCAGGGAGTTCCAGTTAGCTCTTTATCTCTAAACTCAACGCTCAGCTCGACTAGTGATGTCTGAATGAGCCGTTTCTATTTCATACGTTCTACATTATTACTCAAACAGACAATAAAGGTTTCAAAGGTTAAAGGTCAAAGGTCAGCGTGAGTCCTATTTTCACATAACTTAACTTAACTATTTCCTTAGTCTGCTACGTTATACTTCTACTGCACTATCATTTCAGCGGTGAGACTAACCAGCAGAGCCCCTAGACCCCCCCCCCCCCCCACACACACACACACACACACCAGCACATACTATAACACCCCTTGCTGTTAAATACCAACCAACTATGTGCAATATATATATATATATATATGCCGTTAATAACTGTGTACACTGAAAAAAACGGGGAGTATGATTTACTAGAAAGTAAATGTAACAACGTATATTTCAAGTAGCTTCTACTTACAGTTAAGTGTTTGTTACTAAAGGCACTTAAATACACTTTACTGTCACACTCAGTTTGTGTAAGTACATTTGATTTACTATTGCAAAGTAGATTTGACTTAAGATTACATTTGAATCTTATTATGAATCTCCAGTCAAATACATTTGGCTTTCAGGTTGTTTTTTCTTGCTATTCTTATCTTTCATTGAATACATATGTAATATTTCAATATAATTATTAAGTATCATCAAATGCAATTCGTATTAATAAAACAGTTGTACACTAAGGCTCCAGAACATGGAGCAGTAGACTCTTCTAAACAACACATGTGTGTTCTGTTGTCTGATAGAAGCCGTGAGGAATCTACAGTTTACAAAGACTGATCAGATCCTGCACCCATCCCTTAAAGTCAACACATGCTGTCCCTCAGAGTCCAAGGAGAGTCCGGTGTCAGTACCAGATAGAGATGGGCGAGTCATGATTCATCCGGATCATTAACCCGGATCCTAGTAATGAGCCGGTCGTGACGAGTCTCCCTCTCGATTAACCCGAGTCCTTTGAGTCCTACACCTGATGTGACGTAACAATTAAAACTATAAATTGCGTCACTCTTTACTCTCTTTATAACGTGTACAATCACATTACAAAGTTGTTGTATCCAGAGATCCAGCAGACTCGTCGCCATGCACGAATCAACAGCAAATTCAACCCCTCCTCCGGCTCCCGCGAGAGTCCCGTGAGCCGTGAGTGAGCCGTGAGTCGTTGGACTCGCGGGAGCCGTGAGTGAGCCGTGAGCCGTGAGTGAGCCGTGAGTCCGCAAATCTCTGAGTCTGCTGCGACTCGTCGAGGGAGCCGTGGGACTCGAGGGAGCCGTGGGACTCGAGGGAGCCGTGGGACTCGCGGGAGCCGTGGGACTCGCGGGAGCCGTGCGAGCCGGAGGAGGGGCTGAGTCTGCTGTAGATTCGTGCATGGGGACGAGTCTGCTGGATCTCTGGATCTGCTGCCTGCTATAAGTTACGGCTCTGAGTCCTCGTAGGCTACTGGTCTCTCTCGATCATTGACCTGGATTCACGGATCCTGCGATTTTTCCGGCTCTAAATTAAGTTTCAGTGTAGACTTCTAACAAAATGGTCATGTTGTGCAACAGTCTCCTGTAATAATATCTGCATTTCCAATAAGGATCTTACTTGGAAACTCGTTTATTTTGAACATGGCACACAAAAAGAAACAAATGATAGAAAATTGCAAAACAGTTAGAATATATAAAATGTAATTATACAATTATTATTATTATTATTATTATTATTATTATTATTATTAAATGAAAACACAATTGTGCAAAATTAGCTTAAGTACAGGAACATATTAAAATAACTATATACATATAATGCAAAACACTTATTTTTTTAAATGCACACACACACACATGTTTTATTAAAGCAAAAGACACTGTGTAGCGGAGGTTAATGTAACGTTAGTTTAATATGCTGGTTAAATGCAACA